AGACTCAGGAATCCTGAGGAGTGGACAGCCAGTGTCCTGGGCCCCTGACCTTCCCCTGCCACCCTGCCCATTGGATAGTAATGTCCTTCAGTGTTTCCGTGCCATGTGCCAATGTGTGTTCTCTGTGTTCTGCAGAGAAATGTTGCTCTAACCAACTAGATCTTGTTTTAAGTACTTTAGAGGCATTTTCTATTTAGTAGAGACCTGCTGCGAATAAGTATGTTCTAAATTATCTGCCAACTTAATTTATTTTTGACTATATTTATTAAATCTACAGTTGGGTTTTCTGACAACCAACAAACTTGGTCATCTCTCTACAATTTGAATAAAAGCTGGAGTTAGACTTATTGTTCCTCTTCTCCTCTGCCAGTTCTTATGACCTTAGACAAGCAGCTACTGCTCTGATTCTCCAACTTCTGTGATACAAATAGGTTTAATACCACCTGTTCTGTCCAAACCCTCAGCAATGCTGGAAAGATCAAGCAAAAAAAAAAAAAAAAAATCATGTGACCATGGTTTGTGATAATAGCAATTACAATAGCAAGAGTAGTAACAGCTAATATTTATTCAGTAGTCATTATGCGGTAGGCACAATTTTACATGAGTTAATTCAACTTACTCATGACATTTTTAAGATGCAAGATCTGTTTTTGTCCCAAGTTTATAAATGGGGGACAAAGGTATAGAAATTAACTAAGCTGCACAAATCACAAAACTAGTAAGAAGTTGGGTAAGCTGCCTTGTACTATATGGACACAGGGAGAATATATTAGAGCTCTAGAGGCTGCAAGAGATAAGATAGTACAAATATACGCTGTTACAGGAAAATGAAACACTTGCCATTTTATAGTTGTGGCAAATAGTTTCAAAATGGTTTAAAGATTTGTCCAATGTCAAGTATTATACTTTTAGGATATCTATAATTTAGCATGTCTAAAGTATTATATTTTTTAATTGAGGGAAGTAGCTCAAAGCTGGTAGGAACCTGGGGGACTGGAATCAATGACCAAGTTTAAAGGCAATTAAAAAAAATTAAAATTAAAAAAAAAATTAAACTGAATATGTGTAGACAACAGTAAGAATAAATACTTAAGGGAACTCCCTGGTGGCACAAGCAGTTGAGCGCAGTGCTGTAAAGCTGTCAGCAGCCTCTGCAGTGCCGGTTCGATCCCTGCCGGCCACGGTGCAACCCACATAGCACGGCAGACCTCTCCTGTCTCACCCACTATTCCCCTCAGCAGTGTACTTCGGTCCTTCTGCCTGTTCTGCTCCCCATTCTGTCTCTGGTGAATCTCTCACCCTCCCACACTGGCCTGTACCCCAGTTCTTGTATAAATAAAATAAATCTTAGAAAAAAAGAATAAATACTTAAGAAATGTTAGCTACTATTACTTTGTCCTAGTTCCTATAGTTGGATTGTAAAGCACACCACGAGTTATAGACAAAATTGTATTGTTCTTTCTGGAAGTGTTAATGGAGTGATTACAGTACTAGGATTTAAAGAGGAATAAGAAAGTAGAGTCTCAAGTGTGAACTTTTACTTTTTTCCATGATAAATCTACAAAAGCAAAAAATGCTATGACCAAGAGTCAAATTTTCAGAAACATTTTCATTACATTTCTTTCTGCATAGTGGTAATGCAGAAAAACCCTACTATCCAAAAACCCACAGTCATTTGAAAGGAGAGGAAGGGTAATTTATGTACTATGGAGCGAACTCCTTTAAAAAGAGTAGACCAGGGCCTCCCAGGTGGCACAGTGGTTGAGCGCTGGGATGCGAAGCTGCCCACAGCCTCTGCAGCGCCGGTTCAATCCCGGCGACCGGGTGAGGGTCCCACATGGCGTGCAGACCTCTCCTGCCATGCCCGCTGCTCCCCTCAGCAGTGTACTTCGTCATTCTGCCTGTTCTGCATCACGCTCTGGCTCTGGTGAATTCTCTCACCCTCCCGTGCTTCTGACTGTACCCAGTGCTTGTATAAATAAATAAATAAGTCTTAAAAAAAAAAAAAGAGTAGACCAATTGTGCAGTAGGAATTCATAGGCCTGAGGTCAGAAAGAGCATGGCTTGATTCCATGGGAACTAAGTCAAAGCTGGCTCTTCCACTTACTAGTTGGGTGACTTTGGGCACAATGTCTTCATTTTTCTGACGCTATCAAGAGTTTATGAACCCAAAGCTGACCTTGTTGCTTTTGTAGGTAGTATCCATTGCTTTACTTTCACAGTCATCTTCACAAGCCCTGAAAGGTACATTCTGGAATTTTGCAAGATAAACTGACCAATCCAAGTGGCTATAAGAGATTCATGGGAATTTGTTAGACCAAAAGGGCCCTACTTAACATTGAACCAGGTCAATATCAAGAGCCTAACTGACAAAAGATTGACTCTATAGCAGAGGATCTTATGGTCTACCAGGACAAAGCAGGTCCCCACTGTTTCATCCACACCTCCACCCTCTCAAAGTCATGCCCACTGTTCTCCCATGCATATGTCAGAATTAAATGGTGAAAGAGAAAATTCTCTTCTTTGGGGAGCAAAATGATGATTTGAAGATACTATAATGTATTCTTGGCTGGGCAACTGAAACTGGATGGCATATGAACTCACTCCTCAAAGGGGCTACATATGCACCTTGAAATACGTATTATGTTCCAACTGTCCTAACTCACCTGCCCAACTCCTCCCATAGTCAGCCTTGTCTGCTGCTAACTTCTAAAAGGGCACACAAAGGTCTTTGAGCAGGAGGCTGACAAAAACAGTTACTACTAAATATCAGAGTTCTAGTAGAAAGAAGGGGTGAGGTTCTGCACACCACCTGAGACACTGCTGATGTATCTCTGCAGAACTGACTTTCCAGGAGTCCTCAGATTTCTTATGTACAGACTTCTGTGACTATAGCTTCCAAGGCAACCATAGTTGGACCATAGTTCAGGAGGTGTTCCTCAGCTTGGGAGTGGAATTGCTCATAGGAGCATGTTGCAATGTGGGCAAAGCTAAAAAATGGTGCTGAATGTTTGGGGACAGAATATATCTGTAAAAAAGAAATTATCATTTATTGAGATTTAATCAGCACATTTACATCCCTCTTACCTAGAATTTATACTTGCTCAAAAATCAAAAAGGTACTTTGTATAACCTAATCTTTACATCAATTTTATACCTCTCTTACCCTTAACTAGCTGTTGCTGGCTGTGTGTCTCTCATTTGCTGGGAAAAAGCATTCTGCTTATTTGCAGATAAGGAAAGAGAGACAAGGAAGTTAAGGACTTGCTTTATATTACCAAAGATATTTAGGTTTTTCAGTACTATGCCCTTTACTACTAAATGAGGCCAGTGAGATCCACAGACATTATACACACACACGTATATACACATATGTATACCATGATGCCTGAGGTCATACCTTTATTTACATTTGACACAAAAGTCCAAATTACATTTATAACCCCTGTGAAACAATAAGCTAAATCTAAACCCGAATCCTGGAGACTTCTATACAGCCAAAAGAACATGCAGCCACAAAGTGCACAGACTCCTAGTGGATTTTCTAGATGAAAAGCCCAATGAGATAGTCACGGATGACATCTCCTGATCTCTGATAACCTCTGCACTACTAGAACAGCTGAAGATGTTTCCAAATGCACAAATCTGCCCACAAGCCAAGAGTTTGATAAGAACTGGCATTTCATGATTAGAGGCCCTGAAGTTCCCAGAACCAGACATGCCCTTTTGAAAATTTTCCACCTTTGTTATTGCTTCAAGCCAAGATTAACTATTTCCATTCAAATACACCACCTTAAAATTGACCTTTTTTCAAAAAAAAAAAAAAAAAAGCAGGTCCAGTACTTGTGAAGGTTCACGAAGGCACAGATCACAAAACAGAAGCAAGTGGAACCATCAGAGTGGTTCATGGAGAAACCCATACTGTCTTCGAACTTCTGAGCAGTAGGTCCTTGTGCTCTCATTGTTTATTGCTTCTCCACTGAACTGAGACACAGCAACCAAGTCAATGAGACTTGTCTGAAGCTGCTGAGCAGGTTAGTGAGTGTCAGGGCCAGGATCTCTAATGCCCTTGGTTGGGCATTCCCTGCTTGCAAAGGCCTCCATCCAAGGACTGGCTCTTGGAGTACATATTTTGCACCTTCACATTTGATAGGACCTAGTGCTCAGTAGAAATTTCTGATTTCAAACATGATAAAGACACTTCACATTTTCCAGGTCTCTTAATGGAAACTTCAGGGTCATGTGAAGAAATTTTCTGAATAATGTCATAGATCCTTAGACAAAAGTGACCTTATATATATATATATATATATATATATATATATATATATATATTTTTTTTTTTTTTTTTTCCCAAGCCCCTTTTGAGAGATGGGAGGAGGTCAGAGGTCAGATGCTAAAGAAAGGAGGTGGGGGAGGGAGGATGAGAGAGAAAAAGAGAAAGAGAAAGAACCCTGCCACAGTGAGAAACACAGAAATGTCCCTGATTTCTCAAAGCAAAGAACTTACAGTTTGTTTAACTGAGGATAAAAAGGGGGTGGTGTGAAATGCTGGGGTGCAGTGAAAGACTGAACACAAGAAGTGGTAAAGTCTCTAGCTCTGAACTTTCGGGCTCCAGCATTACCTCGTGCAGGGCCTTCCCCTCGGCGGCCCCAGCTCCAAGGGGCCTGCAGGAGAGGCCTGAGGAGGAGCTGGAGACCCCGAAGCTAGGCGCACTCAGGGCAGCCGCCTGGGTTTCGGGGAGGCTGGTGCGCCACCGAGAGACGTCCGAAGCGGGAGCAGGAGGGAGTCAAAGCAGCAGCCCCCCAAAGCGCCAAGAAATGCACTTTAAGTTTCAGCGAAAGAGAGAAACTTTCTATTTCCTCCGAAACCAAGTTTCCCAAGCAGCAGGCCAAGAGCCTCCTATGCCTTGGTGCCCCGCGAGAGGGTCTTCCTCCCGGCCACCCCAAGCCAAGCCCGGCCAGGGGCCGCGCCGCTCCCCGCCCGCCGGCCGCGCTCACCCGCGATGTCCCAGAGCTGCAGGCGCACCACGGTCTCCGGGTCCCAGCGCAGCACCTTGAGCGCGAAGTCCACGCCGATGGTGGCTCGGTAGTGCGAGGAGAAATTCTGGTGCACGTAGCGTTTGATGATGCTGGTCTTGCCCACTCCCAGGTCGCCGATCACCAGCAGCTTGTACAAGTGCTCTTTCTGCGGGGCCTGCATGCTGGCACCCCTGCCCCGTGCGCCAGGCGGCCGGGGAGGACGCGGGGCCGGGTGCGCAGGGCGGGCGGGGAGGGCGCGGGGCCCGGTGCGCCAGGCGGGCGGGAAGGGCACGGCCGGCTCCCGCTCGGGCTCGGCGGGAGAGACTGGCAAGCACAGGCGCTGACGCCAGGGAGGAGGAGGCGACCCGGGGCGGAACTTGTACCCAAACGTGGGTAGAACCGCCCAGCCCAGCCCCGAGGCTCATCCTCCCTCCTGCCCTGCGCTCAGGCCTTAGGAAGAGCGGGACAGGCTGGAGCGACTCCGGGGGACGGAAAGCCGGGGCCCCGAGGTGATAGAGACTCTTGAAGAAGTTTGCGCGCTGCGCTCTGCAATTTTCAAAGAACATCCCTTCCCCCCCTCCCCCCCCCCCCCCCCGTAGTCCTGGATGCAAAGCTGTAAACGTGTATTGCGTCTCTCACGTTTGGCTGCGAGTGAACTGAGTGTCAAAAAAACTTAGTGAATGAGGGAGACAGGTGTGCCAGGACCCGTGGCACACGCTGCTCCTCAGCTCATGCCTCTTCGCCTGCCCGCGCGCAGGTGCGTGCGTCCAGCTGAAGCAGCGGGCGGTGCGAATCCAGGGGCACCATGTCTAGATTTGGATCCTCTAAGCCCTGGTTTTTGAGGCGGGTCATTGGGCAAGTTACTCGAGCTGTCACCCCCTTTTTCCTTGGTGATGATGGTCGAGCGGCCTCCCTGAGTATGAACAAAGCCACTTTTACACCTATTCAATGGTGAATGCTCTAATTAGGAGAATTGGGCTCAAAACCAAGAGGAATTCCAGGCCACCCCTCTCCGATCTTGAAAGCTCTGAGTTGCGTACAAAGGCAATTTTAGCAGCAGATCACATTATTATGAGGAATAATAATATAAGCATTAATCCGCACTTGTCAGTGCAGCTTTTACACCGAAGCCACTTCATCCATCATTCCAGCAGTCTTCAAAAGAGACGCCGTTATTCGTCCCGTTTTACAAATGAGGAGCAAGGCTTTCCTATCTTAAAGTAATGTATCCAGAGTCCATCTGTCAGTGAGGAAAAAGCTTAAGTCAAATTTAAGTCTTCCAGGTGCAAAGAGTGATTTTTAATGCTCAGTCACTCTTTTAACCAACATATATTTATGCTTGAAATGATACAGAAACTACACAAAGATTCCTGGTCACAAAAACTTTACATTCTTATAGGTAGAAACAGACAAACAAAAACATCCAATTTGTCATCTGTCAGTTGGTAACAGAAGGGAGCAGGGAAGGGTGTACAGTTGAATGGGCCATCCTTTTACATAGGGTGTCCAGGGAGGCCTCACTGAAAAAGTCACAAGTCAGTCAAAACTGGCAGCTGGCCAGCAACTGGTATGTAGATCCAGAGGATCCACAATAACAAAATAAGTCGTTTTGTGCTACAAAATGCTGGGAACTGATCCATGCCCATAGTATCTCTTTCTATCTTTCCATATACATTGCAAAGTACTGTGTTCAATTTGTAAATGAGGGAACCAAGCAGGACAGCAGCTTCTCCATGGCCTGTCCCCAACAAATGCTAGACCCGAGATTTAAATACAGGCCTGTGTGAAGCAGGGGGGTAGCCTGAATTCTCCTTTCCTGTACTCCAGCCTGCAAAAGCCCCTCACAAGCTGAGGGGTGCCCCAGTTTCCTGACTTGGACAAATCACTAGTCTCAGTTTCCACCCCAATAACATGAGGAAAATGATTCTTCCATCTAAAGTTGTTAAACAAGCTAGAGATGATTTGTATAACACATTTCTGAACCTGTTGTAGGTGTTGAAAAATGGTTGCTAATAATAGCAAACTGATACCATAATTTCAGCTTTTCTGTTCTAGTTTTCAGCCAGGATCAGACCCCAGGCTGCGGTGCCAGCGCCGAGTCCCAGCCACTAGACAACCATGGGTTGGTGTCTCATGAAGCCACAGCGGGAACTTCGCTGACACTCAGGCAAGAAACGAGAAGAGGCAGATTTGCTTAGAGAGAGATTAAGTCTAAGGAGGGGAAAAGGTACAGAAATAAAGTGGGACTCCCAGGCCGGTGGGGCAAGGAAGCCAAATGGGCCTGCGTCTAGGGCATATTTAAACCTTCTGCTCTATTGCAAAATCATGTCATCCTCTATGTGATTGGCTCTCTGTGGCTGTTCTTCCCTGGCAATTGTGCCCAGCCTTACAGCTCTTTTTATTTTTTTAAAGAATTATTTATTTATACAAGCACTGGGTACAGTCAGAAGCACGGGAGGGTGAGAGGATTCACCAGAGCCAGGGCAGGGAACAGAACAGGCAGACTGACGAAGTACACTGCTGAAGGGAGCAGCGGGCGCAGCAGGAGAGGTCTGCACGCCATGTGGAACCCTCGCTGGCAGCCGGGGATGGAACTGGCTCTGCAGAGGCTGTGGGCAGCTTCGCAGCCCAGTGCTCAACCGTTGGGCCACCAGGGGAGGCCCTGCCTTACAGCTCTTATCTTAGTCTTTCTTTCACTGCCCCTGCACAAGTTCTCTTAGAATTTACTCTCCTTATTAGCCTTAAATTTTACTGCCCTGATTAGTCCTCCTGGATTTCTCTGTCCTTATCTCAGAAGCTTTTTAACTCTCCCCAAGTCCCTGCCTGCACTGTCCCTAAAGCTGCCTAATAAACCCTAACTTGCCCAAAGACTCAAAAAGAGGGACAAGATTTTCCTACCCTGTCCTCTGATATAAACACTAGAGACAGGCATTGCATCTTAATAGCATTATGTCTCCTCAAAGAGTAACTCAGACGTTTTGCTCACAAGAGGTCTGGAGTGAAGGGGTGTGGAGTTGTGCTGCCTTCTGTTTAGTGCAGTGCTTACACAGGTAAGCACCATTCCTTGGTTCCCACCCACACAGAGACACACCACGCAGATTCTATCTAACAAGTGCATCAGGTATTCTATGCGCTTTAAGTATTACCAACACGTAGGTAACACTGCAAGGAGAGGTGCTCATGAACCATGTTCCCGGCACACTTTGAGCAGCAAAATGAGAGATGATGGCAGAATGAGAACCTTGACAGATCTAAAACCCTGGCTCTACAAATCCAAAAATCAAGTTTGGTCTGGGGAAAGAGCCAATGTGGGAGAAACAAGGAGAGGGGAGAAGCTTCAGATTGTCTGTGAGACTGCCCTCATCGTTGTACCAGACGGACTTCTTCACAGGCCTCAGCCTGCCCCAGCCAGGTCCAGGCTGACTCATCCTCAGCCTCACCTGGCTCCTCGTCAGGAGCTCGTGGGAGCCTCAACTTTGAAATTTATTATGTGATAGGCTGACCATGATTCCAGTTTTCTAGGACTTGCAACTTATAAATTAGAGAGAAAGGGGTTTAAGCAAAAGAATATAAAAGTATGGAACGGGTTCTGAAGCTTCCGTCTCACTTTTTCCGGGGGTGGAGATGCCACTGGAGGGGCAGTAACCACCACAGTGAGAAGCCCCCTCTCCAGGCAGGAGGTGTGTGTGTGTGTGGGGTGTGTGTGTGTGTGTGTGTGTACAATTTGTTTCCAGAGACATTCATTTACATCTCATGACAGTTCCTTACAGCAGGGGGAAAAAAAAATGCTCTCAGCTTTATAATTCTTTTAAAATATTTTAGCTAAAGTTACTTGGTGAGTACCCAGGCTAGCAATTCAGTGACATCTTCATAAAGGACACTTCAGGACTCTGCATCTGAGAGTCTCGGGGTGGGGGGGGATGAGGAAACTGGGTTGTAAGATGTGAGAGTACTTTCCAAAATATCAGAATTCTGGATCTTCTAGATACCCTCAAGCTGGGTGTCTTCTGACACACCCATTACATTTTTATTTATTTATTAATATATTCTATTTTATGTAATTCTTATATCATTTTTCATTTTTGCACAATGTATGCATTTTCATCTTGGTTATATTCCCCATTCAATTCCCACCCCCCTTGTTTTCACCCTAATCCCTCCTTCCATACCCCCCCACCGTGTGTCTCTGATTTATAGTTGCTTGTTGATTTTGATTTCCAGTTTATTATAATTAGTCTTTTTTCCTGGTCCCTTATTTAGGTTTTCTAAATTCCTGCTATGAGTGAGACCATCCGGTATTTTTCTTTTTCTTTCTGGCTTATTTCGCTGAGCATGATCCCTTCCAGCTCCATCCATGTTGCTGCAAATTGCATAAGTAGCAATCAAAAAAAGATAAACCCATCCCATTTTAATCACTTCCACCATAGCACCATCACCCAAGAGGTGAAGTTTCTGTTTGTACTCCATGTGCCTCCCCTGTGAATAGAGAACAGAGCTGTGGAAAAGGCATTTCAAAACAAACCTCATGCCATACTTGTTTTCAGGTTTCATAGCTCTTTTCTTTCCTCAGCTATTACACACTTTCCCCCAAGACAAGGGCCCATCTCCCCCTGACACCTTAGGACTATTCAGATGGGTGTCTAACTTTTTCTTGATAAGTCAATCCCCCCTCCTTCCAGAGCAAGAGCTATCATTTCCACATGGCTACCCCTCCAGCTGCCATCCTGCGCCATGGGAAGTGTCCTCCTTCCCCAGCCCCGCCCCTTAACTTTCACAGGCTCTCTGGTGATGTGCTGATGATGTTATTACTCTCAAATTATTAAACCACAGCACTGGGTCCCGAAGAACGGGAAAGCAAGTGACTCAAGTCTGTAAAAGCCATATGAGACCACAAAGAATACAGGTGTGGAACGGTATTCCAGAAGGCATAAAGACATTTAAGTCTTAATTTCCTTGCTTCCCAATGCGGTACATATTCCTGCATTTAATAAAATGGAAAACCTAATTTAAAAGATTGGAAATTGCTCTGCAAATATAAACTTTAAAAACCCATATTCCTTGCCCAGGGATGTTGTATTAGGTGGAGTTAGACTATTTGCTTTCGGTACTTAATTATTGTGCTGAAGAAATACTTAAATGATTGCAAGATAAAGTGCTGATGACTGTTGTGGGAAAGGTAGGCTCAGTTTTATGGATTGGTACAAGAAATATATCTTCAGAG